GGGGGGGGGGGGGGGGGGTTCTCAGACCCTAAACACCAACGCCACGCCCTCATCTCCCACCGCGACGATTTTCCAACCCTTAGCATTGTCAAGGTTGGTATGATCGCCCAAACCTCCCGTATCCTTGCCCTGCGTGAAGCCGTCGTCCCTGCCTACATCCATAGCTAGCACGCTATCCGTAAAGCCGTGCTGCGTAGAGATGCAAGCGCCCGTTCTCGCTTCCCACGTCTTGATTGTGCAATCCGGTTCTGCGCTGCTCGTGCTGAAGAGCGTTGTTCCTGGGTGCATGCATAGCGCAGTGATGGCCGAGGTGGGCGTGGAGGTGGAATGGTACACTTCGCACCTCATCTTCCCAGACGACAAATCCCACACTATGCCTTTACCTTCTGTACTGACAGTGATAGCGTGCGTAGGAGGTCCGACGTTCTCCTTGTCCTTGTTGTTGCCAACACCAAGAGCAGCGTTTCCAGAAAGATCCACAAAACTGCTTCCTTCAATACTTTCTCCAGATGCATGTCCTACCAACTCTCCAACGACGTTCAATCCTCCTCCAAGCTCTACCGCCGCGATGTTGACCAATCTGACATCCCCCTCTGCCCCGCCTACCAACAACACCTTGCCATCCGAAGAGACGCAAAGCGAGGTGATGCCAGACGAAAAGGGAAATCGAGTATCGCTGGATTGCATCTTGCCCAGCGGAGAGCCACTTCGGGGATCCCACACTATCAGAGATCCATCTTCCGATACGGTGGCCAATTTCTTGCCTTTCAATGGGAGGGGGAAGAGAAAAGCGAGAGCGCAAATACCGAGTCAGTCTCAAGAAAGGTTTTGTGTGCGCAAGCAAGTTTGTCAAAGAGGGCGAAATGTAGCAGCTAGCTCACCATCGGGCGTCCATGTGCCTGTAGATACGCCGGCCGTGTGACCCGAAAAGACTTGCATCACATTGCCGCTTGGCACTGTAGCACGGCGAGTGAAAGATGGAGGAGGAAGTGAGCATGACTGCGGTCCTTGGATATCACAAAGCGCGACATGTATCTGCCATACGAAGAGTACTTCTCGAGCCCCATGGCCTCTGAACCAAGAGATTCTGTGCTGTGCGCGAGAGGGACTGCCACCGCTCCGCATTGTTGTGGCACTATTGTGATGATGCACTCACACTGCCACATCCAGACTGTCGCGTCGGCTCCGCCCGCTGTCAAGACGTTCCCTTTGGGGTGCCAAGATAGCCACTGGCGCGAGGTGCAGAAGCGAAAGCACGAGTGGATGAGAAGCACTGTGAGTCGTGTGCTGCCAAACTTTCGTGCGCATACATATCGCACAACCTAGCCGTCCGGCGCCCATTCAGATCGACACACTCACAGTGATTTCATCAGGACCTTCCAAATTGGTCAAGAATTCCCATGTGTTCCAATCGGTCTGCGTCTCCGTCTGTGTGGCGTTGGCGTTGGCGTTGGCGTTGGCGTTGGCGTTGGCGTTGGCGTTGGCGTTGGCGTTGGCAGAAGGCCTAGCCCTCCAGACCCTTACTCGTCCATCCATTCCACCAATGGCAGCCATGCTTCCTTCCGCATTCCAAGCTGTGCAAGTGACGCTATCCTCATGCCCATCAAGTCGCACCACCTCTTCACCATCTCTCGTATTCCATATCCTCCCTTTATCATCCCCTCCTCCTGTCAACGCCAACGGCACGCGAGGAAAGAAGGGATGAAGCGAAATACTAAAGATGGATTGTCGATGTGAATAGAAGGCGGCGATGGATGTATCGCTGAACTGATGCGTTTCTTGGGAAGTTGAATGTGCACCGATGGCTTCGTCGATTGCATCCCCGTCCGCATCACCATCATCCATGGGCACATCTCCCTCTTCATCTTCATCCCCAATCACCTCTTCTCCCTCTCCTCCTCCCGTCAATCGAAAGTCTTCCTCCTCCTCCTCCTCCTCCTCTTCCTCTTCTTCCTCGGCATGAAGGGCTCGAGATTCGTCTTGCATACTGCCCATTTCGTTCTCCTTGGGATTCATGCTGCTGCTACAGCAAGCTGGACGATCGAACTAGCTGTGTGCGGTCTAGCGGTGCTTCCCCGATGATGTGGTAGTCGTGAGAGAGAGTGTGTGATGACGAGCGAAATCGGAGATATTTGATTGTGGTCGCAAGCGCATGAAGTTGAGATGTTGCAGGAGCGTGATCGAGAGGGGAAGGGAAGGTAGGCGTGCAGCAAGCAGGTCGAGCTCCTGCTGGTCACAAGAAGTGCCTCAGTCCACCACAAAAATCAAAACTTGACTCGCGGACTTGACTTTCGAGCGAAGTCTGGTGAGTCTTGAGGCGAGACATCAAAGCTTAAGTCCGAGACACGTGATCCATCGGCATGCATGCATGCATGGCTGGCTGCATCCATGGATGGACTTTGACTTTGACTCAAAATCTTGAATTCACGATTTTTGATTCTGATTCACGATTGAAATTGCCGCGATCCGAAGCTGCCTGGCCTGCCTGCCTGCCTGCCTGCCGCTCTCGTACGGCAGGAATGAATTGATTCGTAGTCGTGAATTTGCTGTGTCACGTGTCTGCAGCATGTCTGTACGCCGCGGCCGCCCAATCCAAAAAATTCCACGATCGATGGGTCATTCATGATTGCTGCTCAGGCGGTGTCGGGCTACACAAGCTGTGCGCACCATATATCCTGCGTGATTCACGATCGAGTGAGTGCACCCAGCATCATCACCATTCGCCACTCGCCACTCGCCACTCCTCACCACTCTGACACACACTTGACCCACGCATAGCTTACGTCCTGCCATTCCATAACATCAATCCGGGCTCGTAATACTTGAGCAACTGCTGCTTCTCGACGAGGCAAGGCAACGTTTTGTGTCCGAGGGCGAAGTTTACTGCATAGGAGGACGAGGGCGGCAGAAGACGTTCGGAGTTTGTGAGATATGGGCAAGCGAAAATTTGTGGGTGGTGGCGAGGTAAGCAAGCCTGAGGGCGAGGACAAGAGAGATGGGCTCGCACAATCCTCAGCAAGGAGCAAAGCTTCATCGGGATTGGGTGTCGGTGTCGGTGTCGATGCTGGTGCTGCAGCTGCAGCTGCAGTCTTCGACACCAAGCAATCTTACAAGGAGCAAATAGAACATCTTCCATTCGGCGTAAGTCCACTCTCCTTCTTTCCATCCATCAATCACCCACTCAGCTTCATCCTCCTGCACCCCCCACGCTACAGTCTTCTCTCAAACTCCACGACGATGCATTCAATGCCTTGCTCAACCTCTTACCAGCACACCTGTATTTGGGTCCGGAAGATTCTACGCTATCGCAGCAGGAAGAAGAAGATGCGCAGGGGATTTCTAATAGGTTTATGAAACATAAGAGGAAGAAGGATAAGGAGGAAGAGGAGAGGTTGAGAAAGGAGAAGAGTAGAGCTGGGAAGAGAGCAAAGGTGAGCCAGAAGCAGACTATATCACGTCTTGAAAAAGATTCAAGAGAAACTTTGGATGAGTGAATAATGGGCGCAGGACATTCGCGCTCATCTTTGTCTCCAATTTTTCCTTTTTTTCTTTTTTTTTGCTGCTTTGCAATGCGCACGTTCAACTCAGCTCGACCCGGCTAATCAGAAGACTATCCCGGAGGTTCAAGCAGAGAGGAGGGAGAGGGCAGCTGCGGCCGAAGCGTTGGCGGATGCGCAGAGCGATTCCGACGCTGGATTACAGGATGGATGGCAGGACGATGACGACGAAGAGGAGGAGGAGGATGAAGAGGAGGAGGAGGAGGAGATCGACGACGATGAAGAGGTCGCCGAGCAAGACGATGGGGGAGGGTCTGGACCAGCTGGACAAGTACCGGGCGCTAGCAAGGGGGCAAGCAGCATAGCGGAACTCAAAGCGAGATTACAAGCGAGATTGAGCAAGCTGGCCAAGAAGCGCAACGCACCGTTCACCGCACCCAACTCTTCGATCACGTCGAAGGGTGCAGAGGGGACCGGGGATGAGGGTGAGCTGGCCTCTAGCAAGGATGAGCTGTTGGAAGAGAGGAGGCGCAAGAGGTTGGAAGGCAAGAAAGCGGGAAGAGAGAGGAAGAAGGCGGAAAAGAGGGAGGCCAAGGAAGCGAAAAGGAGAGCTGAAAAGGAAAAGCTGGACAAGAAAAAGGGAGGCAAAGGCAAATCCCCCTCGACTCCTTTGGCTGGCGAGAATGGCGGAGTGGGAAGAGTGGGCGCCAAAACGAACGGTGGCGGGAATGGGGATCTCGGATCTAATCGTGCGCCTGCACTCATTGTCCCTGACCACTCGGTAGCGGAGCACAAGACTTACAAGAGCATAGATACGTCGGCATCCGACGTGACTTTTGGCAAGGTCCAATTCGAAGGCGAAGGCGATGCATCTCCTCACAAAAAGTCTAGACATTCCCTCCCTTCCAATCCCAAACAAGCTTTGCACGTTCTGGAAGCGCGTAAGGCTAGGGAAGCTAAACGTGTGGCGACTGATGAAGCGGAAGGCAAGAACTCGGAAGCGACGCAAGCTAGGAAGGAGAAGGAAAGAGAGCGTAAAGATAGAGAGAGGTGGGAAAAGGCTCAGATGAGCGCGGAAGGTGTAAGGTTGAGAGATGATGAGGCGCTACTGAAGAAGGCGGCCAAGAGACGGGATAAAGAAAAGAGCAAGAGCAAGGAGGAATGGTGAGTCTCTCTTTTCACTTCTCCTTGCTTCCTGGGGGGGTATGGGAGCGCTTTAATTCTTTCTCGCTGCGCTGCGCTGCTTGAGGGGCATGCATGCTAGTCGTGGGTTGTTGAGAAAGCAAGAAAGCATGCGAAGCTTACGTGTTCTGCTTCGAATCCGGAATGCAATGCAGGGCCAAACGAGCCGATCAGCTCAAATCGGACCAAGCAGCAGCTCAGAAACGTCGAACGGATAATCTAGCGGCTCGAAGAGATGCGAAAATCAACAAGCACAAGGGTATCAAGCAACCCAAAAAAGCCTTTAACGGTGCTTCTTCGTCCTCCTCCTCCTCGAGGGATAGAAAGAGCGGAGGTGCGCAGGGAGGTGGCAAGAGGAGCAAAGCTAGACCGGGCTTTGAGGGCAAATTACCGGGCAAATTCTCTTCCGGTGCGCCCGCAAAGGGTCAGAACAAGGGACGCAAGAAATGAAAGCACTCGGAATGTGGTTGGGACTGGGGTTACCTGAACGTCTTGGGGCGGTCTCGCTTGTGACAGGCATGCGACGCATTGAGGAACACTGCTTCGCCGCTTTTCTTGGGGTCCACGAGCAATGTGGATAAGCGTGCGTGTGGCCCCTTTTGCGCTCCTTTGGGCTTGTGTGAGAGGAGCGCGCGTGAGCGAGAGCGTGCGGCTCGTATGAATGTTTGTCGCGTGGCACACGAGCACGAAGGCACAGAGCGATCTGATGCGCCCCGTCCCTCTTCAGCGAGCGAAAGGCTCTGGAATGCGGTGCGATGGCATTGAATGAAGGGCGTGCGCAACAGGTACAGGCGGGCGGCAAGAAGGGTCCATCTTTCACCTTGTGAGCACGTCCGAGCCGGGTGATCTCCATCGTACAGCCACATGCTGGCCAACTCGCACATTTCCATATCCCAAAGACGCGTCGCGATGATCGCCATGGCCAACATGATCGCTACCGATGACCTGTGCAGGGATTCCGTACATTCCAAAACAAGGTCCGGGTCTTTTGGCGTGCTTGTGAAGATTGCGAGACCTTCGCAAGAGTCCTAGAGGTACTTGAACATCCCTCTGACCCGTCTGAGGGTCAACAGAAGTCAAGATGCACCTCTCGCACCTCGCCACCAGATGTATCTTCGCTTCCATCCTCTTCTTCTCCTCCTTCTCCCCCTCCTCCTTCTCCCCCTCCTCCTTCCCCTCCTCTTCTCCTGTTCCTGGAAAACACGTATCGCTAGGTTCGAAGAAATGCAATTCGTCCCACTGGTCTTCGCTATACGCTTCGAATGCCGAACGGCAAGAGTCGCGTTGCTGCGCTGTCGCTTCGGACCGATCAGAGCGAAAAGGTTGGCGTGAACTCAAGACGATGTTGGGTCTGAAACGTCGCATGTCCATCGATGCTTCGCCAAACAATTCCCAGCGTCCACGCGCAGCTTCCAGATTGCGCAAGACTGCACCTCCTCGACCGTCCGAAGGTTGCGCTTCCACCGACCCGCGCAACGCGTCCGATAGCTGCTGACGCAGCGCTGCGAGGCTGTGCCATGGGGATTGATGCTCGCTCGTCAGCAGCCGAATCAGTGCCGAAGACTTGCCACTTGCACTTCACACCCACCTCTCTTCGGTAGCTATTAGAAAGGGATACTCGTCCTGCGCGCACGCGCACGTCAAAGCAGCAAGTCAGAATACCGGCGTGGAGCCAGTGAACGAAGTCCTCTCGAGGTGAGGGGGACTGGGGCAACCTTTCCTCCGCCAGCCTAGCAATGGAGGGTACGCACCTGAAATTCGATACCTCGAGCACTCTCCACATCCTTTCTCTTGCTCTCCTCCCAGCTTTCGAAGTCGCTTGGAGGTCTGAGCAGTGGGAAAGCAGCCCTCTTATCGCCTAGCGGATCGAAATGTAGCAATTTGACCTCATACCCCAAAAACTATCGTGGAAAGGGGAGAGAGAGCAAGTGGGATTGGCCAATCCGAGCCTGATAGAGTCAGCAAGCGATCCTCTTTTGCGGCGCAACGACGAGAACACGGTGGCGGTGGCCGAGCTACTGACTTTGGATATCCAAGCGCTGGGTGATAAGGCGTCTGCTCCTGCGGTACGTGCCGATACGCTGCGAGACGTGAGGGCTACTACACGTCCGTGTCCCTGATCTCCGTACATGGGCACCACCACCTGCTCCCAACTGGCCAATTGCTGCGCAGAAGGATTGAGATCGACGTGAAAAGGATGCAGCGCATGCCTTAAACTCGCATCCTTCACCTCCTCAGAGAGTGAGATGCGCATAACATTCTGCTCTTCGTCCAGCTCTGGCACTATCAACGTCAGCTGGCATCCTCCCGCAAAGCGAGTTGTGGGACGCGATGAAGAGGGCGGTATGGTGAGCATGTATGAGTCTGTAGCTTGCGGGGGGACGACTGGCTCACAAGGCAAGCCACAACGCAAAGGGATGACTCACTCGAGGTTCTTCGCGCAAACTCAATTTACCTTTTCCCTCTTTGAAAACGCACCACCTGCGGTCATACTTCCATCCTTTTCTTCCCACCCCAGCCGACTTCATCTCGCAAGCCGCGCAGCTCTTGATGGGATAGAGCAGCAGTCTAGAGACCCGAGCTATCTCCTCCACTTTGCCCGCTCTACCATCTTCCTCCTGCTGCTCCTTCTCCTCTTTGCAAACACCTCTCGCTGCCTCGGTCCAATTAGAAGCTGATGCTGATGCTGATGCTGATGCTGATGCTGATGCTGAGCTGTCTGCTCGAGCTTTTGCTTTTGCTTTTGGAGCGTACAGAGAACGCAGAAAGGCGATGGCTAGGACAGTGCACAGCACAAACGCCTGCACGCCCAATTTTCTTCGAAATTCCGCAGAGACGATCACTTCGCGCCATGCGGTGGAGGTGTAGATGAGACCGGATGGCATGATGTTGGCAAGAGAGAGAAAAAAAAGAAAAAGAAAGAAAGAAAGAAAGGAAACAAATTGGGGGGGGG